CAGCGGCCGGAGGTGCTGGAGCACGGCGCTGTGCAAAGGTTTCTGTAGGAGGGGGAGGCCGCGGCCACGTCCATGCCGCTGTTCCAGTTCCCCCCCCTCGCCAGTCGCGCCGGAGCGCGGCACGTGGCCTGTTTCCTCGTGTAGTGTGTAGGAGAGGGAGGCCATGGACACGTCCAGGCCGATTTCCCAGTTCCCCCCCCCCTTCCCGTCATCCTCGCCCTCCGCACGTCCCTTTCGCACGAAGCCCACAAGCGTTTCTCTTCCTCCCAAAGGACGGGGGCGGGGGGATTCACCAGACCTTGGCGCCCGTGCTGCTAGATACCGCGTGTTTCTGCCAGCAGCCAGTGAGTGCCGCACCAAGCTGACCGTCTCCCCGGCGAATCAGAGCGCAATCCAATCCAAATCCCCGCTCCGCCTCCCCTTCGGGAGCGAAGGGAGGACGTGCGCGTGCACGACTCCACGCTGGCTTCGAGAGCGCGCTCTGCGGGAACGCTCGTATCGCGCGGCGGGGCTCCCAGACGGCCGGACGGGGAGCCGTGTCCATGTACGTGGTTGGGCCCGCACGTCCTTTGTGGGCTCCCTACCCCTTCCTCGGCGGCGAGCGAGGGGGGCAGGTGACAAGGAGAAGGCCTTCTCAGAAGGCGGCGGGACTTCTCAGCATCCCTCGCGCCTCCTGAGAAGCTTTCTCTGCCCTCGGGGAAGGCCCAGAGAACTCCTCAGGAGGCCGGGGGACTTCCGAGCTTTCCGAGAAGGCATTCTTTTTCTCTCAGCACGAACGAAATGGGTACGGAAAGAAGGGGTACAATGCCCTGCCCAACAGCAGTTCCTGTTCATTTTGAACAGGGCTCGCTGTCCGCGCCGCCGCGGCCTGTGTCCGTTTGAGACAGAAGGCCGCCTGCCCAACGGCGGCCGCTGTTGGTCTGGGGCAGCATTTGTTGTTGGGCATTGTACCCATTTTTCCCGTACCCATTTCGGGCGTCCAAAACATGGACGACCATCGCGACTGAGGTTTTTTCCGTATGTTTTTCGGCCTCGAGGGGGGCCCTCGCCCTCGCGGGGCCCACGGGGACCGTGAACAAAGACGGCTCGGGAGGGAGAGTTGGTCCTGGGGAGGGGGTCGAGACTTCTGGTACAATGCCCAACAACAAATGTTGTCCAAATTCTCACTTCCCCCTCGCTCCCCGCCAATTTCCAGTTCTCCCCCCTCTTTATCCCCCCCCCCTTGGCTTGGCCTCCGCCCGCCGGCCGCCATGCCCCATCTCGTCCTTCCTCCTTCCCTCGCCCTCCTCGGCCCCCTGCCCCCCCCTTGCCCTGCTCTCTTCGTCTTCCTCCTCCTCCTCCTCCTCATCCTCCTGCTCCTCCTCCTTCTCCTCCTCCTCCTCCTCCTCCTCCTCGTCCTTCTCTTCCTCCTCCTCCTCCTCCTCCTCCTCCTCCCCCACCGCTCCTTCTCTTCCCAGGGTTCGTTTCGATTCCTCCCAGTCGATTCGATTCGATTTCGATGGATTCCGATTCCGATTCGATTCGACTTTGGATTCCGATTTGGAGTCCGAGTTCTCGATGACGCATTACTGTTCTGCCGACTTCCGCCGAGTCGACTCCTCTCGAGTTGGCTGCCGATCCGATTCATTTCGATCGTCGATTCGACTTATCGATTCGATTCTCGGTTCTCCTGCCTTCATCCCCCCGCTCCGCCCGGAATCTAGCCTGGTCTCGTGATCTGGCTGCTGGGCGAGCGCGGCGAGAAAATGGAGTCCGCGCGTTCCGTCTGGTCCACGCCCGCGTCTTTGGGTCGAAGGGTAAGAATCTGCTCGCGCAGAAATTTTCGGAGGGCCGCGCGGGCTTCTCAGGAGGGACAAAAACACAGGCACAATTAATCGTCGATCCCCGGGAAAATGTGGACAATATAGGAAGAGGGGGGGGGAAACAAAAACCCAGAAAACATGGAAAATATTTGGCATCCTTTTATTTGTATGTATTTCCTTGTGTGTTCCAGGGCCCCTTCAGCTTCTCCCGCCCGCGCTGGGCCCCCCCCGCCCTCCCTTCTGACGCTCCCGGCGGCGCCGCATTCGGCGCCTTCCACGTGCTGGGCAATGGTCAGGAGGGAAAAAACACACTGACACAATTAATCGTCGACTCCCCGGAAAATATGGGAAATATGGGAATTAGGGGGGGGAAGACAAAAACCCAGAAAATATGGGAAAAGATTGGGCATCCTTTTATTTGTGCCTATTCACTTGTGTGTCCCAGGGCCCCTTCACAAAGGGAGGCCCGGCCCCGACCCGAGAAGACCGCGCGGGCCTCCGAGAGACGATGTGCACTGCTTCTTCTTGTGATAGCCGCAGAAGGTCTTTCATGATGCCCACCCCCAAGTTCTCGGCGGGGGATATAACTCGTCCCTCCTCCTCCTCCTCCTTCCCCTCCCCCCTTCCCCGGGGCACAGGAGGAGGAGGAGGAGGAGGAGGAGGAGGAGGAGGAGGAGGAGGCGGAGGAGGCCGCCAGGCGTTGAGCGATGGGATTTTGAGCACGTCTCATGACCTCTCATGCATCCGCCGACGCGAATAATTCATTTCCCATTATTGGCGGGGTCCCAAGCCGTCAATGAGCCGGCGGACAAATGAGTCATTTTCCCATTATTGCCCGGGGGGGTCTGAAAGACCCTTTGGGGTTACCTCTGCTTCTTCTTGTTTTTCTGCTTTCTCCTCTGCTTCCCGCCTCCGGCCCAGACATCCGGCGCATCGATGTTTGTGTTCGACGCGTGGGACCCCTCGACCCCTTCTCCAGGGCCGGCTTCGGATCCCGAGTGACGTGATCCTGGCGGCCCCGTGGCCTGAAGCCAGCTCTGCAGATTTGTTCGGGGCGCCTCATGCCTGAGTCTGCCTACTCCTCTCTCTGCCCATCCCTCTGCCTTGGGATGCAGCTCCTGGAAGGGTGAAGTCCGCGTTGCCGCTGGTATATCCGTTGTCGGAAACAAGCCTAGTCTGGCACAGTCCCGCTTCATCCGGTGTCGTCCCGCTAGATCTGGCTTAATCCTGGGCCTCTCTCGGCCTTCTCCGGATACATAGCCCGCTGATCGGGACCAAGTGTTCTTATTCGTTTTTGCGAAGACCTCCAAGGAGGTGCCTCCTAAATGTGTCTCCTCCTCCTCCTCCTCCTCCTCCTCCTCCTCCTCATCCTCCACCTCCCTCTTCTCCTCCATTGCTTGTCCTTATAATTAAGTTCTCCCTGTCGCACCCCGAGGTCATGTTTTAGGCCGGGCCGGGCGTTTCGCCTGAGACTTCCGCACCGTTCATGACTGTCACAGCTTCACAGATGGAGGGCGGGTGGTTTTAAAATGTGGCTCTCGCCTTACGCCGCGCACATGTTTTCTATGCTTTGCAAGAGCTTCACGGATTGAGGATCACCCGTTTTCAAAATGTGGCCCTCGTTCTAGCGCCGCGCATATTCGTTTTAAACAGTTGCAAGAGTTTCACAAATTGAGGATCACCCGTGTGGCTCTCGCCTTAGCGCCGCTCACATTCGTTTTAAAGAATTGCAACAGCTTCACGGATTGAGGGCGGTTCCTTTTCATAATGTGGTTCGCGCTTTAGCGCCACGCACATTCTCTCCTAACATTTGCAAGAGTGTCATGGATTCCCACGGTCAACGTACCAGAAATGGTGCCTGGGAGGGATTCAGGATCCTGCGGTTGCAACAGTTACGTTGATTCGCGGTGATGAAATCCTCAGAACGGCGTTCTGGCGCGATCCAGGACCGACAAGACGCAACAGTCAGGTTGATCCGTGGCATTGGAATCCCGAGAACAATGTTTTGGCATGCTTCCAGATCTTCAAACGGTTGTCTTCCAACAGGGCAGATCCCTCAGTGGAAATGAAACGTTGAAGGGGCGTATGAAGAGAGAGCTTGGAGTGAGGTTGTTTTCCAACATCGTTGATGGCTCGTGGGTTTACACTGGTCCTCCTCCTCCTTCTCCTCCCCCTTCTCCTCCTCCCCTTTCTCTTCCTCCTCCTCCTCCTCCTCCTCCTCCTCCTCCTCCTCATCATCATCATCATCATCATCATCATCATCATCATCATCATCCCCCCAGTTCCTTTCCCTGGACCGAGAGGGCGTGCTCGGCCGGGCTCGCCCCCCGCTCTTTGCACGCTGGGCTCCCCCTGCCCCTTCCGGCAGGGTGGTTCGGGCGGGCGCCCCAGGAATGCCCAGGCGCTTCTCGGCAGGCTGCAGCACCACGCCGGCTAAATCTCAGCACGATCTCAGCACGGGTCGAAGAAACACATGCGCAGGCATGTAAGCTGCTGGAGGTCCGCGCGGACCCCCGAAAGCTCACGCCTGCGCACTTGTGGATTACTCTGTGTTCCACGGTTTCAGCTTCCCCCCCCGCGCGGCCGCTCCCGCTTCTCCTCCCCGCGCTCCTGCGCGCTGGACAATTTGCCGATCGGTGCCCCCCGATTTGCCTCGCGCTGGTGCGGAGCGCCTCTGCCTCGCCGCCGACGGAGACATGCGTTCCACGGCTTCGGGTCCGGGGAGCCTCTCCCGGGGGCCCCAGGGCAGTCCACGACGGCTCTGGGGCAACAGTTAAGTCGGGCCTGTCCCCCTACAGGGGGATCTTCGACGAAAAATAAAACATACCCCAGAAATAGTCAAAGACTAAGCCAAACATAGTCTGGGGACTTTTGGGGGGGTATTGGGGGGGTATTCTTAATTTTTTGGGGGGTATTTTTTGGGGTATTTTTTTGAGTATTTCGGGTGTGTTTTGGGGTGTTTTTGAATATGTTTTGACATTTGGGTTTTTGTTCGGGTATTTTTAATTTTTCGTCGGAAATCCCCCAGTAGGGGGACAGGCCCGACATAAGAGGCAACCGCGGGTCCCCGGAGCGCCCCTTGGAGGGAGTCCAGGGCCCGCTTGCCTCCCTTCGGGGGCCACAGCTGCTGCACGGCCAGCGTAGTGGTTGTGCTGCTCGATTTTTCGTGTGTCGCGCGCGCGGCAGCCGCGTGTCCTC